ACTAGGGGGCAGGGTAGATAACTAAAGGACAAGGGGGCAGGGAAGATCACTAAGTGACAGGGGAGAGTTCTAAGGGATGGGGTGTCATGATTACTATATGACCCAACAAGCAGAACTATGTAAGATACATAGAACAAGGATGACATGTACCGAGCCTTAGAATGGCCAGACTTAACGTAAACAAAGAATGGACAAAATACTAGCCGAGGTCAGGGACAAGCCAAAAGTCAAGGATACCAGAAATACGGGAAAGTCAAAATACAAGCCAAAGTCAAATATCAAAAAGGAATTAGAATAGGAACGCACTCTCTGTTAACCAACTAGTGGAAACCATTTACGCTATGATTGGTTAGTAGCCTCTGATCCCAAAATGTGCGTGCGCGTCGTTTGTCACATGCACGTAGGTGCCATCTTTGTTGAGGACGGAGGCGGGGCTATATAGTAGCTCGGGACCGCAGCGGCCAGCGTTCATTAGAATGCTGCACCGGTCGGGGATCGCTCTAGTAGAGTGCTACATGGCAAGCTGACTTGTCCTTAGGTACGTTTTTATTATTTTTAACAGCGTTACCACATCGATTGGATGCGGCCATGCTGTATGGAGGCGTGGGGGACGTGACACAGGGGCAGAAGAGGAGACCACTAAGCAGGGGCAGATCCAGAACCTAATCTCGGGAGGGGCACTGGCAGATTATTTAAAGAAACAATCCAGGCACAAAAACCACTTCAGCTCCCTGTAGTGGTTATGGTGCCAGTAGTGCCACTGCGCCCTCCCAGAGTAAGTAGTCAAACCGTTTAAAAAAACAGTTTGATAACTTACCTGGAGTCTGCCGGGATAGGGGCACTGTCAGGGTATTTATATCGGCAGACATCTTGTGCTATGATAGAAATTAAAAGTGTATATTCTGAGTCACTCTGAACAGACCAGACTCCATTTTGTTATTTTCAAGTTAACAAAAAGACACAAGATTTCTTTCTGTAAGACTAGCCACTTTGCCAGAGCTAAGGAATGCATAGCATAGTATAAACAAGTGATAAGAAGAATATAATCAAATCTAAACCCAGACAAATTGTGACAGAGAAGATTAAATAATAAAATTTAAATTATATATATATATATATATATATATATATATATATATATATATATATATATATATATATATATATATATATATATATATATATATATATAGTACCATTGTATGGAAAAGGGTAAACGTAGTTCATGATCTGCCATATCAGAAAAATTCAGGAATTGCAGACGCTAAGTCTGGACAAAATTTAAGAAACCCTTTGAAATTTTAAATTATGGCACTATAAAGATAACGCAAAATGACGTCAAAATAGCCACCAGGAAAAGTTAACTCTTTCCTGGATAGGTATGTTTAGTGGGACAAGACTGCCCTCTATAGACTAAATACCTAAATTGCGATCTGGAAGATAACCACACCTCTAGTACTTCTATTGGGTTATCAACTGATGACGTACAGAGAGTCTGGCCCTTTAAAAGTTAAGACAAAGGGAAGATAGAGATATGCAGGGTATGCAAGGGATGCAAAGGAGAAAGAAAAAGAGGAGAGAGGAATTGGAAGTTTGGGGACTCCAACCTCCATGCAGAGAGACATCCAAATAAGTTCCTGAGACTACCAATCGGATGAAATATCTACTCAACTGGTAATTATACTGGTTTCATTTAATTAATTAAATTAATTAAAATGTATTAATAGCATTATATATGACTGGATAAAGCACGGTCAGATTTCCATATTAAGAAATCTTAGTTAACTAAAGAATATATAGTTATAAACATTCCATTCTGCAGGTGGAATTAAGAATAATTATATATTGAAGTGATATTATCACGTGTTAGCATACCGCTGTTTTTATCCAGGTGTATTGATTTGCTCTAAATTAAGATAAGATATCTTTTAGACAAATTAAATTAAAATCTGCTTATATAATATGGTAGATTCTCTTATTGGATGGTTCCAGGAAATGACTAATGAACTGGTTTAAATGTTATTTTATTTAAAATTACATAAGAATAGATCTTAATTACCTAGGAGATCTAGCCAGCATTGAAAGGGTTATTCTAACTGTCAGCTAACTTTACGACCTTACGCTGCACTCTGAAGAATTCTGTTCTCTGAGTAAAACTTTTCTTCGCTGTGAAATGTTTCACTTTAAGTCTGTGTTAAGGATACCTCATAAATCGTCAAAGTCTTGACAGATAATGCTGTTTAAGCCATTGAGACGTGTGTACCCATTCCTTTGTATTGCATATCATTTTATACTGGATATTCATTGATTATTGTCACGCATGTTACATATTATTATTATTAATCTGTTATTAAAAATAAAATCTATTTTTATAAAAAAAATTATGATATTATTTATATGAAATACTTTCACTTACGATAAACATTCTTTGGGATCTGAGAATTGAATTAGTGGGCAATTCTCACTGTTACTATTATTATCCCATAAATATCCCCACAGCACTAGTGTGTGTAACGGTACTTACCTGGTCCGTGTGCCAGCAGGTGTCCTCTGTTCGAGCCGCATGCGGCTCAAGCACTCCTGCCTTCAGACGAGCCGCGAAAACTCCTTTCTCCTGGCAGGTCGCGCGTGCCGAACAGACTAATCGGGTGCGCGGCCAGTACAGTATTGGGAACGCTGCTCACATGGCAAGCACGTTCTTAAAGGGGAAGTGGGAGCCTAACCTTGCGGTAGGCTCCCATTGGCCCACGTCATTCCGGCGGCCCCATTCACGCACGTTGTGGGGCGCATGCATGACGGGGACCAATCAAATTAAAAGTATTTACACTTACCCCGCCCTAGATTCTGTGCCCTATTGTGGTTTGTCTGTCTTGTTTGCCCTTCTGATTATTACCTTGTACCTGAATCTGGTTAGTCCTCTTTTTCGCTGTCTCTCCGTTACTCTGACCTCTGCTCGTATTTCGATTACGCTTTTCTCTGTCTAACATTAAGACTGGCCACTCTAAGGCCCGGTAAGACATTTTTATTTCATTAGTCCATTCCTTGCTATCCTAAACTCTGCGTGTTAGGGTTATACTCCGTGACAGTGTGTGAGGGGTGATGTGCGTGTGTGAGGGGTGTAGTGTGTGTGTGTGTGAGTACTGTATGTGAGTGGTAAAGTGTGTGTGTGAGTGGTGTAGTCTGTGTATGGGGTGAAGTGTGTGAGGGGTGCAATATGTGTAGGGGGCAGATTAAATATAACATCTATTTTTTGTAATTAAAATAAAAATAGTTTATATCCCCCTCCCTGGGAGGGGTACAGAGTTTCCAGTCCCTGGTGGTCCCAGTGGTGAGAGTGAACTTTAGCCTGCAGCTCAGGGTAGAGTTCACTCTCACGAGAATAGTAACCGCGGCAACACTTCGAGCTCGCAAGAGGAGAACCCGGCGGAGCCGCAGGTAAGAGCTCCCCCAGGTTCTCTCTACCTCCCTGCCCTGTCTGGGCCAGAATGGAAGATCCTCGGCCTCACTATTTCCTCGGGGGATGACAAATTGCCCTCTCCCCTGCGAATCCGCCACTGCCACTAAGAGACAGGGGGAGGAGAGATGAGACCACTAAGGGACAGGGGGGTGGAGTGAAAGAGATCATTAAAGGACCACTCTAGGCACCCAGACCACTTCAGCTTAATGAAGTGGTCTGGGTGCCAGGTCCAGCTAGGGTTAACCCATTGTTTTATAATCATAGTAGTTTCAGAGAAACTGCTATGTTTATCAATGGGTTAAGCCTTCCCCCAAAGCCTCTAGCGGCTGTCAATGAGACGGTGAGAGCACGCAAGCGTCCATAGGAAAGCATTGATAAACTTAAAGAAAACAAATATACAAAAAAATAATAATAATTTTAACAAAATAAATAAAAATTAAGAGCTGCTCCCCTCTCAGCCCCTATCCTACCCCACAAATCCTATCTTTCACACTACACAATGCATCCTTACACATGCACAGAAACACACAATGCATCCCTACACACACACACAGACACCCTCCGAAACACACAATGCATCCCACACACACAGAAACACACCATGCTTCCCTTGCACACTGAGAAACACACAATGCACCCCTTACACACACACACACACACACACACACAATGCACACCTTACAGACACACACACACACTGCATCCCTTACATATACAGAAATACACCTTGTACTTATCAAGTAAGTAAAAAAAAACATGGTATAGTGGGACGATTAGTGGATGTGGGGCTAATTAGTAGTGTGCAATAGTGCATTGTACATAGACAAAGGCCCTCCCCACCCCACCCCACCCACACAAAAAAAAGTTGGAGTAACTCTTTAACATGGTATTGTCACATTCAAGTTTTTCATAACAGCAAAATCTTTATGAAAATTAACAAAGACTAGACAGCAAAAAAAAACCAAAAAAAACCCTAAGGCAAAATGTGTTAGAGGACAAAGCTTCAAGTAGCATCCACTTACACATCTTGCTGTTTTGCCTTCAGTTGTGACTACTAGTACAATAATAACCACATGACATGTAGTGGTCATGGTGCTTAGACAGTCCCTTTAAAGATTTAGCAATGAGGCACAGACAGGGCACATAATGCATTGGAGGAAAAACTGGAGCAGTGGCTTTATTTCTTCATAACCACTTATTTAATGTCAAATTGTTAGAGCTTTAAATCAATTATTCAGAGGGTGGATACATCAGACAAATCCAATATAACAGGGCAAGTCAAGAGCCAGACCTTAGACAGCCAGGCACAGAGAAATATATGGACCTTCTTTTCAAATATTTTTTATTTAAGGTTTTATGTTTTTACATCAATATATACAGTACTTTTATATGGAATACATACAAGACAAATTGTATATGGAGATACATACAACATATGTACAAAAAGAGTACAAACAAAAAAAAAAAAAAATTAGTTTATAGTAACAACAGTACAATTACTTCATTAAATCTGTAACTACGGGGGCGGAGCCGAACCAGCAACCTGAATAGACGCACTCTGCATGAGCTCCCGCAGCTAGAGCCCTAAACCTGCAAATAACTCAAGGCGACTTGCTAACAAACCGGCCCACTGGAACGGGAAAGCAGTCCTGAACATGCCAACACCATACTCGTCACCCGGTGCGGGAACAGCAGCTGCAGACCGGGGCCTATTGATGGGGACACGAGGGAAGGACGGCCGCCTTCCTGCCAAATGCTAAATGCCACAAGCTACCACGAAAAGCGCACCCCCCCCCCTATGGACCGGTGCGGGATATCCCGGTCCCCGCCAGGCAGAGGGTCCCGGACCCCACACCAAACGACAGGCTCAGCAACTCTCCGAAACAATCTGGAGTCCCAGGCCTCCAAGATGGTGGACTCTCAGGTCCTGACAGTGCCGGACAACAGACGGTGTTATTGCGATGAAACAGACACAGGGGACTATGCTAGAGACCCCATCAAGGCAATATTTGATCACTTCTGGGTCAGACTGCAGGCGCTCTTACACCCAGAGAGACCTCACCACCCACGGCCTCAACGAGATAGAGCCGACGGCAGTTGGACGGCTGGGGACCCTCCTCAGGGCAAACCTAAACCCCACGCTACAGGCTCCAGCATCCAAGGCCCTCCCGGGCTGAGGGCAACAGGGGTCATACCCCCGAGGTGCCGGCCACACCCGCGGAGAACAATGAAGCGACTCCCCACACAGACCGCGAAGACTCTCTGCACTACCCCGAAAGGGCCAACCCTGGGCCACAATGGTTCCCAGGCTCATGGCCTACAAGCACCTGCGAGACACCATGGCTCTACACAGCAGCGGACTTCAAAAGGGAACCATAAGCACGGTATTAAACTGAAGATGGGCGGACGTCAGGCCAACAGTGGTGCGGCTGTACCCCAAGAGCGAGCTGGAAGCAGATACTCCACTACACGCCACATCTGCGTGGCCACCCACCCGCATAGAGAGCACCCACAGATAAGCCCCAGCCACACAGCACAGCTACTGAACGGGCTCGACCCGAAAGGGGACTGGCACTGGACACAGAACAGCAGGAGAGAGTGGAGTGACACCACACCGAGCCAGGGAATGGACTACCCAACAAAGCACACCAGTGGCATCGGATGAAGGGCTGTGGCTACCTTCGCTCCGACCACCAGCCTGACCCAAATGCAGAACCTGATGCACACCCACACTGACATAAGTTGTTGAGAGTCAGTTGCCACAACCATTTTATTTTGTTTTACTCTAAGCTACCAAGCAATAACCAGTAGCCAGACACATACGTAACCTCAAATGATACCTTTCACTTACAGCCCTAAATAAGTCTCTGCATTATACCCCGCTGACCAATCTTGTAATGCGCCTTCAGCTCGCTATCCATTACTCTCTTCACCACACACTTTAATTCAAGCAAACCTGACAAACCCTATAATCTGCCCGACGTAAACATACCGCTATATGCATCTCTGGCCATCAATATTACCCTCCCGTGTGGGCTCATTAACCGGGTCCCACACTACTGAGTATAGGCTTGAACCAGTAAGCACCACACCGAACTGTCAGGATACTGTTGAAACTGTTATGCACAGCTAAGAATACACACTATTTGTACCTCTATCGTTAAATGTCTACATGTCTATCATCCTAAATAACAAAAATGTGCTAGTAATCTAGTATATCCCGCTGTTATACTTGTTGAAATTCAGCGTGAGGACTGCCGTTGGGGTACCTCTCGCTTGTTGTTATATATCTATGCACGGCAAAAATAAAAAAAAAAAATTTTAAATCTGTAACTACACAAGCTACCTTGTGTAGTTATGGCGTAGGGAAAGTATAAACCTTCCCCCGCCTTGCAGAGCTCAGTCTATGCAGAGCCCTCCATGGGTGAAGATGGATTATTTTGTTTTGCGCTCGTTTTTTTTTTTTTTATTGCGTCGGTTATTATGGATTTTTATTTGGCCTTTTTTGGGGCTGAAAAAATAAGATTTTAGAAGAAAGAAAACATTGAATGGTAAGTTTATTTTTACAGGTATTTAGTTAAAGGTCCCCCCTCATTATTTTTAGGGGTTTATTTTTTGGGTGAGGGGGTGACTAGGGGTTTGGGGACCCCTAGTCATCTGGGGGGAGGGGGTTAAATATGTATTTAGGGCCCCCACCAGCCGCTCAGGGGTGGGGGCCAGGGGGGAGGACATTAGGTCCCCCCCTTATTTTTGTTTAGGCCCCCACCCACCGCTCAGGGGTGGGGGCCAGAGGGAAAGACATTAGGTCACCCCCACAATTTGTATTTAGGGCCCCCAACCACCGCTCAGGGGTGGGGGTCAGGGCAGAGGACATTAGGTCCCCATTATTCTAGTTTAGGGCCCCCACCCACCACGGTATAGCCAGTAGGGGCATAATTTACTAATACTAAGTAATCTTTACTTAGTGTTAGTAAATTTGGCTGAAAGACCAACTTAGGTCTTTCAGCCTTTTAGTAGATAGCTCCCTAATACCGTGGGAATTAGGGAGTTATCTACTTATTCATTCCTGTCATTACACGACTGGCTAGGTAACTTACATTTTATATGAATGTGTGTTACTTGATTGTTGTAAGTGTTGCAAATGCTTACAGCTGAATCCTGTCTATGTTTGGATACTTTTTATTTGAAATTGTATACAGTGTAACATTCTTCTTCTTTTACTGGGTAAGTATATTAGTACTTAGGCAATACTGTGCTTCGGAACTTCGACACCTCGGAACTTCAGCAATTCGGCAATTTCGGCAATTCAGAAGCACACGAATGTCCGAATTACCCGAAATTCGGCCCGAAACGAATTGCACAGGTCTAATAATTTTATCTGTCAATTACTTGTTACATATTCCGATGTATAAATGTAATGCTGAAAATGTTGACAATATACAAATGCTAGTCATAATTAATTTTTTAAGTATCATATTTGACCTATCCTACTTCTACCACATAACAATGACCACGAGTATAACTATCTTATCCTGTCCATAACCCTGTTCTATCAACATTCTGACATGTTAGTGAAATCCCATGATGGTTGGTTTCTACCTTATTTAATCTCGAATTATTCAATTTGATGTCTGTATGCTTCTGGTGGCTTTCATAATGGCTAGTTTATCATCCATGTGGGACAGCTGTGTAATTGTATCGCAGGACCTTCTATTCACTGGTGTGGAAGAGGTGGACTTCCATTTCAGCAGGTCTAGAAACAAATGGCCTATATAGGTGGGCAGTTGAGCCACGGTTATGGCGTCAGGAATGCCTCTAATCTTGATATGTATGCGGTGGATGCTGTCTTCTAGGGATGTCATCCTGGCCTGCATAGACTGACATGTTTCCCTTAGACTTGTGAGGCCGTCTGCAGTGTCAATCTTGAATTGCTGCAACTCTGCCACCTCTTCTTCCACCTCCTTCACTCAGCCTCCTAGGGTGCGCACTTCTCTGCTCGCTTTTCCAACCTCTGTTGCTTCATCTCTTTCAGGAATGATTTAATATCTCCTTTAGTGAATCATCCTCCTCATCCAAAGAGGGGTTGTAGAGGGTCCCTGTGGGAAATTATCCAGAGTTTCAATTTCTCACTCCGCCGAGGATGAGGATTCCTCAGCTGTTGCACCTGCTATCTTAGGTTCAGCTTGCTGTAGGCAGATATCTCAGGAACATCCCGCTTGTGCCGCCCGTAGCTTTTTAGAGCGATTCCCCATATCTGTGGGTGTCTGCAGACACGTTTGGGGCAGGTGTGAACCCCGATTTTTCGCTGCCATAGGCACTTAATGTAGCCCGTGAGTCGGAGCTCAATGCAGGTGCTTCCTTGCTACCTCCGCCCCCTTGGGGACCTCTGATTTTATCAAAAATGCTCAAAGAAAGTTTTGACACAGAAATGGGTAATGAGGTTGCAAGCTAGTAGCTGTCAGGATTACAAGTTGATCCAGCACGCAGAACTGTGTCACACCTAGGACTAAGGATAACGTATAACCGGACCTTAGAATGGCCGGCCTTCACGTATCCAAGAATAATCAAAATACTTGCCGAGGTCAGGAACACAGAATCAGACACAATGATGAGGGAAAGCCTAAAGTCAAGGATACCAGAATTCAGGGAAGTCAAAACGAAGCCAAAGTCAAATACCAGAAAATCAAGATCAGGAACTCACTCTCGGATTACCATCAAGATGAAACCACAACAAGGCAATGAGCAAAAGGAGAATTGGGTTTAAATATTCCTCCTGTGGATCTGATTGGCCATGACCGGCCTTTGACCCCAAAAGCAATGACCAGGTTTCCATGTGCATGATTGCTGCTGAGCACAAACCCTCTTGTGGATCTGATTGGCCATGACTGGCCTTTGACCCCAAAAGCAATTACCAGGTTTCCATGTGCATAATTTCTGGTCGACACAACTTTTCCTGTTAGAAAGGTAAATGCCATTAACCACATTTTTATGTGTGGATGAATACATGACAGTAGCAAGATAACCAATACAAAGGCATGCTGTAGTTTAGGTAATTAGACTGCCCCAATGTTATGTATGGGCCATTACTTAAAGGGGCATTCCACTGCACAAATGCAAAATAAATAATCACTGTTTAGTAGGAATGCCCCAAACATTAGTTTTTTGATTATTGAGAGTTGATCTAAAAATAGTTTGCAAAACCTGCATTTCTCTTGCAAGCTCTCCTTTTCTAACCCCGCCCAGCAAGGCAGGTGCTCTGAGCAATTGCTGCCTCCTGAATTTAGCTCCACTGAGCTAACCAAACCAGGAAGTGACGGGAACAGTTGTCTGATTGACATCCAGAGGGGTGTAACCAGGCTGATTTATAAAAGTGTAAAGGCCTATTGAAATATGTACCTTTTGCAAAATAAAAAAGATAGGACACACTATTCACACATAAAGGTTTTCAGCAAGCTAAAGTGCTTTAGGGGTCCATGTTGTAGTTAAGAATCCTGTTCCTGATACAAAGTAGATTCAATCTATTTGGCACCCTACAGCAGTGGTTCCCAACCCAGTCCTCAAATACCCCCTAACAATCCAGGATTTAGGGATTACCCAGTTGTGTCTAAGGTGTTTTTAGACGAAGAAAAAAAAAAAAACACTTTAGACACGACAGGGTAACCCCTAAATCCTGAACCGGTAGGGCTACTTGAGGAGTGGGTTGGGAGCCCCTGTCCTACATACATTTCCCAGTTTGACCCTCTTGTTACACGATGTCTAGCAATGGACATCTGCCAGGTGCCCTCTGTGTAAACCCAGCAGCTGTCCATAACCATCTGACTGCCAGCACTTCCGCTTCCGTAATTCCTCGCTCTGCTACGGCTGCTGGGGTCCTTCGCTCCTCTGTCCCTGGCTGTGCCTGTTTCCAATGTACATTTTGGTGTTTCGTTTTATAAGGGCTCCTCGGACACACAGATCAGTTTTCTGACGCTCCCGCTGATCCCGGAGCCTATGCTCGGATCGTTGCGCTCAGCCGTGTTAACGCTCAGTTATGTAACAGGCAGTTAGCGGGGCAGCCCGAGGTGCGGGGTCCTGCTGAACGAACCGTGCTGGTGGCGGAGTGTTTACAAATTGAAAGGTAAACGGTTATCGCTGTCACTGGCGCGAGACACCCCCACCCCCCCTCCCCGGACAGCTCCCTCCACCCCCGGGGACCGCCATCAGCCCTCCCCAGCTATCTGTCACCGCCACATCGGATCACTGGGCCGGGAAGCAGGTGCTCGCAGTTTGCCCGGTTTCCTGTCGCCCTCGGGGTAACGCTGGGGAGAAGGTGCTGGTAAGCCGAGTGTGGGAGCCATGGAGGAGACTGCTGGTTGCCCATGGCTAGTGATGGCTCGGGGGTGTAACCTCTGCTGGAAATAAAGCTCCCAGGGCGCTCAGGAAGCACAGAAACAAGTTTACTATTGAGCCTCCGTAAAGTGGGTGAGCCAGAGAGTGTGCCCAGCCTGCTGGGTGTGAGTGTGCCCAGCCTGCTGGGTGTGAGTGTGCCCAGCCTGCTGGGTGTGAGTGTGCCCAGCCTGCTGGGTGTGAGTGTGCCCAGCCTGCTGGGTGTGAGTGTGCCCAGCCTGCTGGGTGTGAGTGAGTGTGCCCAGCCTGCTGGGAGTGAGTGAGTGTGCCCAGCCTGCTGGGAGTGAGTGAGTGTGCCCAGCCTGCTGGGAGTGAGTGAGTGTGCCCAGCCTGCTGGGAGTGAGTGAGTGTGCCCAGCCTGCTGGGAGTGAGTGAGTGTGCCCAGCCTGCTGGGAGGGTGTGAGTGTGCCCAGCCTGCTGGGAGGGTGTGAGTGTGCCCAGCCTGCTGGGAGGGTGTGAGTGTGCCCAGCCTGCTGGGTGGGGGGGAGTGTGCCCAGCCTGCTGGGTGGGGGGGAGTGTGGTGGGAGTGAGTGTGCCCAGGGTGTTGAGTTAGTGTGCCCGCGCCCAGCCTGCTGTGAGTGAGTGAGTGTGTGCCCAGGGCCTGTAGAGGTCTGTCACTGATCCTGGCTGTACAAGAGGCGGCTGGGGCAGGTGTTGGAGTGCAGAGCTGGTGGTGAGTAGAAAGGGAATGAAGGACAAACAGGAGGAACTGGATTGAGGGGGAGACTGACTCCTGGTGTGATGGAGATGGTCACATAGACGAACATTTTGCTGAGTTGGCAGCAGAGCATGTCTGCTGGGCAAGGCTGTTAATTTTTTATATTTTTAGTGAAATTTTAAAGGTTAGGGTATAGAATTATTAAAGGGATATCCTAGTCACCAAAACAACTTTAGATTAATGAAGCCGTTTTGGATATAGATCATGCCCCTGCAGTTTTACTGCTCAGTTCTCTATTGGTTAATTCACTTTGTTTATGCAACTATAGGCACACCTCCCTGCAAGTAATTTACACAGCCTTCCTAAACACTTCCTGTAAAGAGCCATCTAATGTTTATACTTTTATTGAACATTCTGTTCAATTTAGAATGTCTTCTCTCCTGTTTTGTTAAAAGCTTGCTAGACCCTGCAGGAGTCTCCTGTGTGTAATTAAAGTTCAATTTACAGAGCAGGAGATACAAACTTATACAGTAAGTTACTTCCTGATTGAAAATG